AAGTGCTGCAACAATTGTGTAAAATATATTTTCCCACCAAAAAAAAATGTTAGAGAAATATGACACTTTTAAATACCCCTACTAAGAGACTGAAATTCATTATTCAAATTTAACCAATTTTAAATTTCTCAAATGAGAATTTCTATTTGTTGTCTATTCGAATTTGAAAATGTATCTTCAAAATTAACATTGACATTGTAAATTTGTATTCAAAATTAAAACTTTTTATTCAAAATTCACTAATTTCAAACAAAATCGAAAAAATTTCTATTCTAAATTAAAACTTGCTGTTTAAAATTGAAAATTTTTATGCGAAATTGAAAAATGTTTATTCGAAATTGAACATTTTTATTCGAAATTTCTATTCCATTTAAAACTTATATTGACTATATATTGACACCGAAATTTTCTATTCGAAATTGAAAATTTCTTTTCGAAATTGAAATTTTCAATTCAAAATCAAAACTTTTTCTTCGTAATTGAAGATTTCTATTCGAAATTGAAGATTTCTATTCGAAATAGAAGATTTCTGTTCGAAATTAAAAATTAATAAATTCTATTTGAAATCGAAATTTTCTATTCGAAATTGAAAATTTCTTTTCGAAATTGAAATTTTCAATTCAAAATCAAAACTTTTTCTTCGTAATTGAAGATTTGTTCTTAATTGAAGATTTCTATTCGAAATTGAATATTTATGTTCTTAATTAAAGATTTCTATTCGAAATAGAAGATTTCTATTCGAAATAGAAGATTTCTGTTCGAAATTGACAATTTCTGTTCGATATTGAAAATTTCTATTCTAAATTGAAAAATTTAATTCGAAATTGAACATTTCTATTTGAAATTTAAAGATTTATGTTCAAAATTGAAGATTTGTATTCGAAATGAAAAATGTTAATACAAAATTCTATTCGACATTGAAAATTTATATTCATATTTATATTCTAAATTGAAAATTACTTTTTGAAAGGGAAAATTTCTAATAAAAATTGAAAATTGTAATTCGAAATTGAGAATTTCTATTCTGAGTTAAATTCTTCTATTAAAACTGAATATTTCGATGTGAAAATGAATTTATTCATTAAAAATGTTTTCTCGTAATAGAAAATTTCAACTATAAATTGAAAAATTTCTCTGCTAAACCATTGATTTTTCTTTGAAATTTATAATTTTTATATGAAATGGAAGCTTTCTTTACAAACATTTTTTACTTGAAATTTGTACACAAACATTAAAAATTTGACACAAAACATTTATAAAAATCTTTTGAACTTGTTGGCAAAATTTAAGGTTTTTTAGAAGTCGTTGTTGTCTCTATTTTCATACAATTGTATTTTTTTTATCTTGTAAAGTTTTGTACATTTTTATTAGTGTCCTGTTGTACGATAACTATTCTATTTTTTGTTTTTTTCAAAATAACAATATAGACAACATGACGTTTTTCACCCATAAACACATTAAAACTAACAAGACTCATTCTTTATTATTCCTCTTTAAATAGCTTTTTATGGGACTTTGGCAGAGAATAAACTATAAGATTAACTTTTTAAACTAAATTAAATTCGTCAAAGGAAAAAATAAAAAATATTTTTAAAGTTTTTTAAAATTACAAAAATCTTTAAAAAATTCTTGAGTGAACTAAAAAAAAAACACTATATATAGAAATTCCAAACTTTCAATTGAACTTCTTATTCTATTACTAAGCTCCTAACAATAGAATTAAAATGCAATTCTTAAAATAACTTTCTAAGAAATACTTTAAAAATATTACAATAATTGTACATCACAAACAGAAAAACCAGCAGGTGTCATTAAACTCTAGAAATATTAAAGAAAAGAACGCAATCTTTTAGTTTTATTTAAAAGAAAACTGCACAACTGCACCAAAAACTATTTGTGAAATTTACTAAAACAACATTTCACATCAAACCCAAAAGACAAAACTTAAAAAAATAAAATCATAAAATAATAACTAAAACATCACCGTGAATGAGGACATTATAAATGATAAATAATATTAAAAACACTGCAATATTTTGTAGTTGTACTACAAATAAACGAAAAAGCTGCTGTCAGCTATTGTTGCTATGGTTGATAGTTTATGGAATGCTTCAGAGTCTAACCAAGTTGTTTGTATACCTTTCTTTATTCTAAGTACAAGCATAGACAAACATTAAGAGACATTTACGTCAGGGATGATAATGATGCTGGTCAATTCATTAAATTTTTAAGAAAACCTAATTACCAAATATAGTTTTAAGGAGGAGAATATTACGTTTGGAGACATAAATGAACAAAAAAGAAAGAAAGAGAAAACATTGTAATGAAATTACATTTAATGTTATGACTACAATTAAAGGTGATGACAATGATTTATTTTTTGTTGACTCCGGTTTAAAGTAGAGATGGTGGGAAGTTAACTATTCCAAATTACAAATATCTACTTAAAACTGAATTTTTTGAAATTCAAAAGTAACTAACCTAACTAACTAACTAACTAACTAACTAACTAACTAACTAACTAACTAACTAACTAACTAACTAACTAACTAACTAACTAACTACTAACTAACTAACTAACTAACTAACTAACTAACTAACTAACTAACTAACTAACTAACTAACTAACTAACTAACTAACTAACTAACTAACTAACTAACTAACTAACTAACTAACTAACTAACTAACTAACTAACTAACTAACTAACTAACTAACTAACTAACTACTAACTAACTAACTAACTAACTAACTAACTAACTAACTAACTAACTAACTAACTAACTAACTAACTAACTAACTAACTAACTAACTAACTAACTAACTAACTAACTAACTAACTAACTAACTAACTAACTAACTAACTAACTAACTAACTAACTAACTAACTAACTAACTAACTAACTAACTAACTAACTAACTAACTAACTAACTAACTAACTAACTAACTAACTAACTAACTAACTAACTAACTAACTAACTAACTAACTAACTAACTAACTAACTAACTAACTAACTAACTACTAACTAACTAACTAACTAACTAACTAACTAACTAACTAACTAACTAACTAACTAACTAACTAACTAACTAACTAACTAACTAACTAACTAACTAACTAACTAACTAACTAACTAACTAACTAACTAACTAACTAACTAACTAACTAACTAACTAACTAACTAACTAACTAACTAACTAACTAACTACTAACTACTAACTAACTAACTAACTAACTAACTAACTAACTAACTAACTAACTAACTAACTAACTAACTAACTAACTAACTAACTAACTAACTAACTAACTAACTAACTAACTAACTAACTAACTAACTAACTAACTAACTAACTAACTAACTAACTAACTAACTAACTACTAACTAACTAACTAACTAACTAACTAACTAACTAACTAACTACTACTAACTAACTAACTAACTAACTACTAACTAACTAACTAACTAACTAACTAACTAACTAACTAACTAACTAACTAACTAACTAACTAACTAACTAACTAACTAACTAACTAACTAACTAACTAACTAACTAACTAACTAACTAACTAACTAACTAACTGACTAACTAACTAACTAACTAACTAACTAACTAACTAACTAACTGAAGACCATTTTTATACGAATTATTTTCCGAAATTCAAAGTTCCAGATTCAAAATTAAAAATTTTTTATTAAAAACTGACGAAAATAATCTACATTCTTTCTTTAAACCCAGTTTAATCTATATTTTGCGTTTTTCAGAAACGTTACTAAACAATAAAATAAACAATTCGGAAAAAGAAAACCTTAATTTTTTAAGTGAATAGTAATTTTTTTATGTTTATTTTAATTTTTTCTAAAATTTTTCATTTTACATAAATAAAATTTACAAAAAAACGGCTGTTTATTGTTTATGTTTTTGACAGAAAAGTTGGCAATACTAACAAATTTAATTGCTCTTTAATCCACTACTGAAAAACACAATCACAATGTTAAATTCCGCCTAAATTTGTTTCAAGTTTAATCTAAGGGCAAGTTAAGTCTACATAGTTTAACTGAGTAGTAAGAGTATTATCAATTACAATCTGAAAAATTCTTTCAAATTTAAAAATTTCTTTTTCATTTTGAAACATTTTTATTTGAAAATGTCGACATTTTCGAAATTTATTCCAAAATCAAAACTTCTATACAATGTTGAAAATTTCGATATTAAATTAAATAGTTCCTCTAATCTACTTTTATATTGAGTCAAATAACTCAGTATTCAAAAAACTCCCACCTAAAAAGTAAAATAGAAACAACGACAAAATGAAAGGAAGGAAGGAACTATATATAAATATAAAAAACGCATTTTCCTGTTATATTCCTAGAATCACACACTCAGACTCTTTTATTATACACAGTGGCGTGTGATAAAACTAATTAAGTGCAGTTAACAGCAATAGAATAATGAAAATTACAAAAATAAAAAACACAGGAAAAACAATAGACTGTGACACTCTGAATAGATAGATGTCGGTGGAAGGAAAGTTAATGTTAATGTTGTAGTCATTATTAACAACAATAGCAAACAAAACCAAAGTGCTCTCTCCCAGCAAACTAACAACAAGCAGAAAATAGTGACAACTTTGTTTTGATGATGAGACAGACATTAAGTGGGAAATTACTACAAATTTCCTGGTAATATTTTCATGTATTTTTTTCTATCATACTCTCTACTTTTTTTAGTTTTTTCTTTAGTTTCATTTTAGTTACAAATTTAAACGTAATTAGTAAAACATTATTTTGTAATTTGTTTAATTTAAACGGAATTAAAAAAGTTTTCTTCATACATAAATGCATTAAAACGAACGACATTTTTTATTTTAATTTGAAAATAGTAAGAAATTGTAAAATATATTAAAAACTAAATGCATTTTAACTGTCTGGTCTGGCTGATTTAATTTAGAAAAACTAACAGCAGCATTAAAAAACAAAAAAAGTTTTTTCTTCACTTACCATTTTTAAAAGTTGTCATTAAACTGTCAGAATCCATACCGTGATGACAATTGAATAAAGATGTTTCTAGTAAATCTTCTGGTTTATAACCCAATAAATTTAACATTCTGCAATTTAAAGAAGAACATTTAAATCTGTTTGTTGTAATTAATAAATTAATATAAACTTACTTGTCATCCACATAGGTAAATTTCATGTCCAATGAATGTTTGGTCAAGAAGGTAGAGGTTCCCAAGGGCACTTCAATGTTAGAAGGATGTGGTATGGGTCTACCCATGGCCACTAAGACACGATCACCTTTTGTATTAACCACCAAATGACCAGTTATATGAATAACCTAGAAAATTATATGAATTATTATTATTATTATTAAGAATTAATATTCGAAAGCAGAAAATTAATTTAGAAATTCTATTTAAAATCTTAAAATTCTATTCGAAATTAAAACAAATTTATTTCAAATTAAGAATTTCTTTTCAAATATAAAAAATTCGAATCGAAATTTTGAATTTATGTTTAAAATTTAGAATATTAATTTGAAATTAAGAAATCTATTCGAATTTCTATTAGAAACTGAAAATTTTTATTCGAAATTGAGAATTTATATTCGAAATTTAGAATTTCTAATCGAAATTAGAATTCTATTTAAATTACTATTTTACATAAAAAAATTCGACTCAAAATTAAAAAAATATTTTCGAAATTTAGATTTTTTATTTAAAATTTGGAAATTATTCGAATTTCTATTCAAAATCGAAAAATTTTATTCGAAATTAAGATTTTATTTTCAAAATTAAGAATTCTATTAAAATATCTATTCGAAATTAAGAATTTTATTAAAATTTCTATTCGAAATTAAGAATTCTATTCGAAATTGAGAATGCTATTCAAAATTTCTATAGGCATTAAAATTTCTATCCGAAATTCACAATTATTTTCGAATTTCTATTAGAAATTGAAAAATTATATTCGAAATTAAGAATTTCTATTCGAAATAAAAAATTTTGAATTAGAATTAGAATTTTTATTTGAAATTAAGAATTCTATTAAAATTTCTATTAGAATTGAACATTTTTATTCGTAATTGAGAATTTCTATTCGATATTAAGAATACTATTAGAATTTCTATTAGAAATCGAAAATTTTTATTCGAAATTGAGAATTTCTATTCAAAACTAAGATTTCTATTCAAATTTCTATTCGAAATTAAGAATTATTTTTAAAATTTCTATTTGGCATTAAATTTTCTATTCGAAATTAAGAATTTCTATTGAAAATTTTAAATTTATGTTTGAAATTTAGAATTTTTATTTGAGATTAAGAAATCCATTCGAATTTCTATTAGAAATTGAGAATTTTTATTCGAAATTGAGAATTTTTATTCGATATTAAGAATTTTTATTCGATATTAAGAATTTTTATTCGATATTAAGAATTTTATTCGAATTACTATAAAACATTAAAAAGTTCTATTCGAAATTAAGAAATTCTTTTCGAATTATATTTGAATTTCTAGTAGAAAAATTTTCTTCAAAATTGAAAAATTTTATTCAAAATTAAGAATTTCTATTCGAAATTGAAAAAATATGTTCGAAATATAGAATTTTTATTCGAAAGCAAGAAACCTATTCGAATTTCTATTAGAATTAAAAAATTCTATTCGAAATTAAGAAATTCTATTCAATATATTTCGAAATTAGGAATTCTGTTCGAATTTCTATTGGAAATTAACTATTTCTATTTAAATTATGAAATTCTGTTTGAAATCGAAAAATTCAATTAAAAATTATAAATTTCTATTCTTTCCGATATTAATAATTTCTATTCGAATATAAGAAATTCTATTCGAAATTAAGAATACCTGTTTGAAATTAAAGAATTCTACTCGAAATTAAGAATTTTTATTTAAAATTAAGAATTACCATTCGAAATTAAACGATTTCTTTTAAAAATTTAGAATGTCTGTTCGAAATTGAAAAATTCTATTCCAAACATTCGAATTTCTATTAGAATTGAACATTTTTATTCGATATTAAGAATACTATTCGAATTTCTATTAGAAATCGAAAATTTTTATTCGAAATTGAGAAATTATTCAAAAAATTATTTAAAATTAAGAATTCTATTCAAATTTTTATTCGAAATTAAGAATTCTTTTCAAAATTTCTATTAGGCATTAAAATTTCTATTCGAAGTTAGTATTATTTTCGATTTTTTATTAGAAATTAAAAAATTCTATTCGTAATTAAGAATTTCTATTCAAAATTAAAAATTTATGTTCGAAATTTAAAATTTTTATTTTAAATTAAGAAATCTATTCGAATATCTATTAGAATTGAAATTTTTTATTCGAAATTGAGAATTTATATTCGATATTAAGAATTCTATTCGAATTTCTATAAGACATTAAAAAATTCTATTCGAAATTAAAAAATTCTATTTGAAGTTCAGAATTATTTTCGAATTTCTATTAGTAATTGAAAAATTTTATTCAAAATTAAGAATTTCTATGCGAAATTAAAAATATATGTTCGAAATATAGAATTTCTATTTGAAAGTAAGAAATCTATTCTAATTTCCATTAGAATTGAAAATTTTTATACGAAATTCTAAATTTCTATTCGATATTAAGAATTGTATTCGAATTTGTATTAAATATTAAAAATTCTATTCGAAATTAAGAATTTCTGTTCGAAATTAAGAAATTTTATTCGAAATTAAGAAATTTTATTCGATATATATTTCGAAATTAGGAATTCTTCGAATTTCTATTGAAAATTAAAATATTCTATTCGAAATTAACTGTGTGTATTTAAAATTATGAAATTCTGTTCGAAATCGAAAAATTCAATTCAAAATTAAAAATTTCTATTCGAAAACAAGAAATTCTTTCCGATATTAATATTTTCTATTAATACCTGTTCGAAATTAAGAATTTTTATTTGAAATTAAGAATTACTCGAATTTGAAACTAAAAATTCTATACGATTTCTTTTAAAAATTTAGAACTTCTGTTCGAAATTGAAAAATTCTATTCCAAACACAAAACATTTAATAAAAAATCAATTCAAAATTAAAAATTTCTACATGAAAATTCGAAAATTATGATTCACAAATAAATCTCTCACCTTATAAGAAGCACTTTTAATATTGATACTACGACCACGACTAGTAATGGTACACTTTAAGCGCACAAATAAATCACGATGATCGGTAGAGATGCCCTCCTCCAAAAGATGTTCATCTTTAACTTTATCGGTCAAGCCGTTGCGTTTAATATTGAGAGCCTCCTTAAGCTCAGCATGATCGCATTGATGGGCATATTCCCAAATTTGTTGACCCAAAATATCAATCTAGAAAACAAAACACACCACAAGGAATTATAATAATAATGAATCATATTAACAAAAACCCACCTTTGACAAACCCAAATAGTCACTGATATTACCGCTAACATAGGTAATATCACCATCATTGGATAAGATCAATAAGAAACCATCTAAGGTTTGTTTAAGCAACATACTAAAATCTTCGGCTGCAGCAGCACTTTTGCCATTTGCCGGGGTTAAAGCTGTAGTCTCTATGGGTTGTACAGCTTCCACAGCAGTTTGCTGATTAGAATCTTCAGAGATTTGAGAAGATTGTGTACAAGAATCATTAGAATCTAAAGTGCTATTGAGAGCAGAAGTATCAGCTGATGAATCAGAGTTTTCCTCACTTGTATTGTTGTCAGAGAGTTGTAAATCACCGAGTAGTTCTTGGATTTTGGGAACTAGAAAAATAAATGTAGTTTTTTAATTTTTGTATATCTTTTCATGGTTTATAAGCTACTTACACATTTTTAACATATCGCGCACTTTCAAATAGGCTATGGCTATACGCATAACCGAGGCTTTGTCTAGCTGTTGGACATCTTCTTTTTTCAAGGGTAAAACTTGTGCCAATTCGGTAAAGATTTCAGTTTCACGAGAACGACGACATCTGGCGGCATCTCGAGAACGTTCTTTACGTTTTTCATTGTTCCTGTAATGAAAAAAAAATGAAAATTAGTTTTGGTCTAAAATGAGGAATTTCTGTTAAAAATTTTGGGCAAAAGAAACAGTTGAAATATAGAAGGGAAAACATAAAAAATGAATTTAATAATGTGTTAATAAAAGTCTATTCGAAATTGAAAATTATTCTCAGAAATTAAAAATTATTTTCTAAAATAGAAAATACATATATGTTGGAAATGAAGAATTTCTATTTAAAATTCAAATTTAATCATTTTTATTTGAAACTAAAAATTTTTATTCGAATCTTTACAATACTTTACGAAATTAAGAACATTTGTTTGAAATTAAAAATTTATATTAGAAATTAGAATAGATATTTCTATTTGAAATAATAAATTTCAATTCGGAATAATAAATTTCTATATAAAATCACGAATTCCTATTCGAAATTACTAATTTCTGTTAGAATTAATAAAATTTTATTCGAAATTACAAATTTCCAATCGAATTAACAAATTTGTATTCGAAATTAAGAACTTCTGTTATAAATTACAAAATTTTTATTCGAAATTACAAATTTCTATTAAAAATTACGAATTTCTATTCCACATTACAAATTTCTATTCTAAATTACAATTTTCTATTCAATTCCTATTCGAAATTAAAAATTTTTACTCGAAATTACAAAATTCTTTACGAAATTAGAAATTTCTATTCAAAATTAAAAAATTGTATTCGAAATTACAAAATTCTTTACGAAATTAATAATTTGTATTCGAAATTAAGATTTCCTGTTACAAATTACAAAATTTCTATTCGAAATTACAAATTGAAATTTTCGAAATTGAAATTTTCTATAATTTCTAGTTGAAATAACTCATTTCTATATGAAAATACAATATTCTATTCGAAATTACAATTTTCAATTTGAAATTGCAAATTTTTATTTAAAATAACAAATGTCCATTGGAACTTGCAATATTTTTATTTAAAACTACAAATTTCTATTCGAAATTACAAATTTGTATTTGAAATTAAAAAATTCTACTCTAAATTACAAATTTCTATTCGAAATTACAAATTTTATTCAAAATTACTAAATTCTTTAAGAAATTACTAAATTTTATTCAAAATTATAAAATTTTATTCAAAATTATAAAATTTTATTCAAAATTATAAATTTATAAATAAATTTTAAATTTTAACTTGAATTAACAAATTTCTATTCGAAATTGAAATTTTCTATTCAATTCCTATTCAAAATTAAAAAATTTTAGTTGCAATAACTAATTTCTATACGAAATTTTTTATTCGAAATTACAGTTTTCAATTTGAAATTACAAAATTTTATTTAAAATTACAAATGTCCATTCGAACTTGTAATATTTTTATTCAAAACTACAAATTTCTATTTGAAATTTTAAATTTTGATTCAAAATTACAAATTTCTATTTGAAATTACAAATTTTTATTATAAATTACAAATTTCTATTCAAAATTACAATTTTTCTATTAAAAATTAAAAAACTCTATTCGAAATTGCAAATTTCTATTCGAAATTACAAAATCCTTTACGAAATTACTGATTTGTATTCGAAACTAAGAATTTCTACAAAATTACAAATTTTGTTTTTGAATTAACAAATTTCTATTAGAAATTAAAATTTTCTTTTCAATTCCTATTCAAAATTAAAAATTTGTAGTTGAAATAACTAATTTCTATACGAAATTACAATATTCTGTTCGAAATTACAACTTTCTATTCGAAATTACAATTTTCAATTTGAAATTACAAATGTCCATTCGAACTTGCAATATTTTTATTCAAAGCTACAAATTTCTATTCAAAATTACAAATTTTTATACGAAGTTACAAATTACCATTCAAAATTACAAATTTCTATTCAAAATTACTTAATTTTATTACAAATTACAAAATTTTATTTGAAGTTACATATTACTATTCGAAATTATAAAATTCTTTACGAAATTAAAAATTTCTATTTAAAATTTGTAATATTTTTATATTCAAAATTACAGTTTTTCATACGAAATGAGAAATTTTTATTCAAATTTGGAAATTTTTATTCAAAATTACAAAATTCTATTAAAAAAATAAAAATTTTTATTCGAAATTAAGAATTTCTATTTGAAATTAGAAATTTCTATTAGAACTTACACATTTCGAATCGAAATTACAAATTTCTATTCGAAATTCGCATAAAAATAAAATTCTATTAAAAATGAAAAATTTCTCTCAAAATTACAAATTTATCATCGAAAAATTATGAATCTTTTTTAACATAAGACATGCAATTTTTTGCATACAATTTGTCTTAAACGAAAGTGAGAAAGAATACTTTTTTACATTTAATTGAAAAAAAAAATCTCGTTGCAGTTTTACGTCACAAGCCCGACTGACAGACCAACCAAGATCACGTATGCCCATCACATACACTCTTTGCATACGATCGCACAGTGGGGCAGAATGGAAATTTTTTGGAAATAAATCTGGCATTTCTAAACGGCTGATCCGATCGGGATAAAATTTGGCGTGAGCGTAGCCAAGGAGTATTCGAGTTTAAGTTTTGAAGATGAACCCTGCAGATGCCCCAGGGACGGCGCTGTGGCGGCTCAAAGTAGGGTACCTACGACATGTAAAATTTTTAAACTCGTGCCATTTTTTTGTTTTTCACCCAAATACAAAGATTTTTATATTTTGTGAAAGCGCTCGACGAGATCTTGAAAAAACATGCTTGGACATACTACTTATCTCTTATAATATCCGAGTTATAGGCATTTAAAAATTTAGTGATACAAAATTTACCATACCTTGGTCCGCCTTTTTTTGAATACCGGGCGTAATTTTTGACCAAATGGACTCAATTTTTTCTTGTTAGTTAGACAACAAAATTTCTAATAATATACAAAAAATTTCAGATCAATATTGTTTACAGATCCAAAAATATACGTTTTTTAATTTAAAAATTCAACAAATTTTAGATTTTTGGTGTTTTTTTGCCAAAAATGTGTCTTAACTCTTTTATTAATAAAATAAAATTTTTATTAAGAACATATAACAATTTTATAGTTTTCTAAAAGGTATCTTTACGCAGAACGCTTTGGCGTAAAAAACTTGTCCTATTTTTTGAAAATGTTGCCACTGCGTCCTTCCGAATATGACATATTTTTTATCAAAACTTCAACTTTGGGCGACATGTTCTAAAATCCCAAAGCTGGGATCAGAAAACTGAAAGCAGTTTTGGAAACCTCAATATGTTTTCTATTTACTCCAAAAGTATTTTCCCAGCCCTGAAAGAAATGTGGACCCTATGGGCAAAAAAGTAAAAAATCCCATTTTTGGGATTTTCATTCCTATTTTTGGGAATTGCGGGATGCCCTTTGACCTTTTCAATTTTTTTAGAAAATGCTCCAGGCAATCACAGAATGAAGATATTTTTAATAGTTTACTTCTATCTTCTGATCCTGTTCTTTCAACTATGCGAAAAAGATGGATTTGTTATGAAACTCTATCATCTCAAAACAAGGAAGATTTAAAGGACTTATATTACCTTCTGGATATGTATACCGATATGACAGATTATTTTATAGAAAATAAGTAGTGTTAGGAATTAACTATATAAGTAGGTTGTAAGAATTAATTGTATTATGTTTAAGATAAACAGTTCAAATAAAAAAAGCTATTATACTAACTGATGATATTGTATTAAATTGTGTTTTATATTTCGGTGGGCGGGAAAGGTAATTTGTGTGGGGTGATTTAGGTGTTGTTGTGCGTGGCTCATAATAAAATTATAATTTTTTTTATTTTATATACAATATTATAATAAAATAATTAACTAAATAATTTTTAAAAATTGTCCAAATATTTTATTCAACACCAAATGTATGTTCTGTCATACATAATACTAAAATATGAAAAAGATGAAATTAAAGGACACAGGTTTAAATGAACATATTTTTGAATGTAATTGAGATATTGGCTTGAAATTTTTTGTAAAGGGTCGAGAATTTCCATATCTAACTAAAAAATGATATTAAGGGATAAATATGGACTAAATTGTTGTAGCTATCTGCGATCCTATTAAAATTTTGATATAAATCATAGTTTTAGAAATTAAACAAATATGTAATATATGACAAAATCTTTATTTATGAACAAAACTCAATGAAATTTTCAACGCTTGTTAAATTTGTCATTTCAAATAAGAATATGCAAAAAAAAAATTGAAAAGGTCAAAGGGCATCCCGCAATTCCCAAAAATAGGAATGAAAATCCCAAAAATGGGATTTTTTACTTTTTTGCCCATAGGGTCCACATTTCTTTCAGGGCTGGGAAAATACTTTTGGAGTAAATAGAAAACATATTGAGGTTTCCAAAACTGCTTTCAGTTTTCTGATCCCAGCTTTGGGATTTTAGAACATGTCGCCCAAAGTTGAAGTTTTGATAAAAAATATGTCATATTCGGAAGGACGCAGTGGCAACATTTTCAAAAAATAGGACAAGTTTTTTACGCCAAAGCGTTCTGCGTAAAGATACCTTTTAGAAAACTATAAAATTGTTATATGTTCTTAATAAAAATTTTATTTTATTAATAAAAGAGTTAAGACACATTTTTGGCAAAAAAACGCCAAAAATCTAAAATTTTTTGAATTTTTAAATTAAAAAACGTATATTTTTGGATCTGTAAACGATATTGATCTGAAATTTTTTGTATATTATTGGAAATTTTGTTGTCTAACTAACAAGAAAAAATTGAGTCCATTTGGTCAAAAATTACGCCCGGTATTCAAAAAAAAGGCGGACCAAGGTATGGTAAATTTTGTATCACTAAATTTTTAAATGCCTATAACTCGGATATTATAAGAGATAAGTAGTATGTCCAAGCATGTTTTTTCAAGATCTCGTCAAGCGCTTTCACAAAATATAAAAATCTTTGTATTTGGGTGAAAAACAAAAAAATGGCACGAGTTTAAAAATTTTACATGTCGTAGGTACCCTACTTT